TAGCCCTGGGTGTGGCTTGAAGAGAAAGCTAACTAACTTTTAGAGAGAAGAGAGAGAGCTTATGATTTTTCTCTTCAAGAGTGTTTGAAGAAATGAAATGTGTCTTCCTAGGTTAGCTTGAAAGACTATTGCCAAGGAAATGACTTATTTACCCTTACTAAGATGAAATGTGTAAGGGAACAAGGGAACAACTCACAAAGCTCTAGGTACAACTTTGACTTTGGGTTGACTAGTCAATTACTAGTCCCCGACTATTGAATTTTCAGGAATTTAAAGAATTAAATTACCAATTGGATTAGGATTAATTACTTAATTAATCCATTAATTGAATTTGGATTACGGGGTGTCACACTGAAGGCATTTGGTTGTACTCTTTTTCCCTTAGTTAAGTTTTTTCCACTGGGTTTTTTTTAACTCTAAGATTTTTAATGAGACAATCAGTGTAACACATGACTATACATACATGTACTATTTTCCTTGATTAAGTTTTTACCACAGGATTTTTCTAGCAAGGTTTTAACCAGACATGATTTTGAGAAGATAATGTCCAAGTGAGAGTTTTATAATAATTCAAATGTATGACCATTATCTTAGTGATTAGTTATTTTTCCTAATTATTCAGGAATATATATCTTTGTATGAACTCTATAATGAATGAGAAGTCTCGTTCTAGTTTCTTCATTCTCTTTTGCTTTTACATACTATGTAACAAGTTTTTTACCAAAAGATCAACTAGGAGAAAGGAAAGCATAACGAGACTTTCACCAAAGATCAACTACGAAAAGGAATATCTTAATCTACAACATATTTATTATTATGAAAGAGAAAAAAAGGAAGGAAAGTAGACTAGTGTTTCTAAAATTTTAGTTTAAATACAATGTATTTAAAGAGGTTTTTCAAAAACAATTAGGCAACAAATAATCCAATGTTTTAATTGTACTAGTAATTTACCCGTGCGGTGCACGATAAATAAATAGTAAAGTACTTAATTTATGTTTTTTATATTATAATAAATTAACAAATCCTCATAGGTTGAGCGTATTTTCTTGTAATTAATTTCATTTTTGAAATGCAAACTAAAAATTAAAATTTCATTTTTGAAATGTAAGCAAACTAAAAATTAATAAATATTACACACACACACACACACACACACACACACACACACACACACACACACATATATATATATATATATATATATATATATATATATATATATATAATGAGAACCAAAAATAAATTACAGGTTATTAAATACTTCCTTATAAACTACATTAGTGGTTGAACTATATCTATTATCTAACTCACCACAAATCAATAATTTGAGACTTTTAGGATTACTTTGTAACACCCCACTTTTCTAACACTTAATCACAAGTCTAAACCACAATTATCATAAACTAAGCAGCGAAATTAATAGCAAAAAAGATAACTAGTGGGAATGTCACCGCCACAACCACCACTCCGTGGTGATTGCACACACTAGGGGTAGAACTAGAAATAAAATAAATATCTAACATCCATACTAATTACTGAAAGTCACAAGGGGGAAAAAGTCACCCCAAAAGTCTACATCATCAAAGTCTACAAATCATCATAAGTTTAAAAATGAATAATAAGGTCATCCACAAAACATAAGAGTTTAGACATCTCAAACTACGAGACTAATCTAACTCGATCACTTCTCACTGCTGGGCCCACCTGAAAGGGGGTTTACAAGCAACACATAGACAAATAGGAAAACACTCGTTAGCACGAAGCTAAGTATAACCACACTCAACCCTGTAAAGTACTATAGAGTATACTTTGGAAACATTTGATTTCACTTGTAAACAACAAACTCATCTCGTAGACAGCTTTAGTCATATCACATACTTTCTAGATGCTTACAATCTATAATATCAACAGGCATGCTTCGATATATAAGACTTAACAACTTAGATACTTCAACATGTAACTTCATAATAAACTTAACAAGCAACTCATGCTTACAGGTAGTATCATGCTAATAAACCATACAACAGGTATTCTCATACTCTCAAATTCTCATCACATAAACTGGATATACAAGGCTTCAAATGTAACTAAACAATCATGCTCAATATAAAATCTTAAATCAAAATTTTCATTATGCAATCTCATGCTATACTCTACTCATATGCAATCTCGTGCAGTACTATACTCATATGCAATCTCGTGCAATACTATACTCATATGCAATCTCATGCAATACTATACTCATATGCAATCTCATGCAACACTATAAACATGCTCATATGCAATCTCGTGCAATACTATAAACATATGCAATCTTGTGCAATACTATAAAAATACTCATGCAATCTCGTGCAATACTATAAGAATACTCATATGCAATCATGTGCAATACTATACTCATGCTCATATGCAATCTCGTGCAATACTATAAATATACTCATACACTCATTGTAAAAATAGAGTACTTTCTGTGGAGGTCTCATTGAGTCATAAATGACTTTCTTTCTTTCTTTCTTTCTTTAGAGTCGCAATGACTCACTTCTTTCTTTCTTAGAGTCGCAATGACTCATTCTTTCTCTTTGGAGTCTCAATGACTCATACTTTCTCTTTAAATGAACGAGGTAGGAACTTCATCATGTGTGAATGAACCAATCTGGGCACGGCGTCTAGCCGACCTAATACTCTGCTCGTCCACCGAACCACTCTCTTGGTTCTATGCTCTAACTCTGTGGAATCAGGTATCGAACTTTTAGTGTGCACACCCCCTGACCAGGATTCCAAGCCTGGCGGGCAGTTTTCATCCTCGTAACGTGGGAATACGCCGCGTTACATATACTGGAACCGCAATGTCCATAAAATCATCCGAGAGGACATAGTCCAAACGGGATCCTCCAAAACCTCACCGATATAGATAATACATAAATATATCTCTCATGCATCAATCTCATGCATGCAACAACTCTACTACTTCTCAATGCATCAAAGAGTGATGTACCACATGCTTATGTCTTTTTGAAAGTAATACTTGGGCTTACATTGGCCCCTTATGCATTTTTGAAATATGAAATATGTGAGATGCAAAAATACTCTATATCATGCTTCTAAACCACGTATATAAACCATAAAATACTCAAGGATATAATATCATACTCGGTTTGCAACATAGCGAATTCTATACATTTCTATCAACAAAATATACTTTAATTCTCATTGATCAAATATCACATTTTAGTCATGCTTTCATAATAAATCAAATTCTCAAATGATCATGCTTATCTACTCAATACAAAATAATCATCAGATCACATAGCCAAGCATTTCTCATACACAGTGAACTTAACAATATATATACTCTGTAGCAACTTCTTCAATAAATCCCTCATAACATACTCATTTTTTATCCAAATTCAACGAAGTCAAAGCCAAAACGTGCATCGAGACGATCCCGAGGTACCGAGCCACAAGGGCCCGTGACACCTGACCCGAAACGACACGTAGCTGAGCCACAAGGGCCCGACCACTGCACAAAAACTCCTCAGATTAAATACTCAAGGACTTGGGGCGGGACTCCTCATGAGCCGCCTCATGAGTCCCACTGCATTGCCTGGCCTAGGCAGCGACCCTCTCCTAGGGCCGTTCCCTAGGCCCGGGTAACCCCGGCTCTAGCCGGCGGCCCTTCTGATAGGCCGCGGCTAGGGCCGCTGGTCTGATCTGGTGCACACTGTGCACCAGATGGCATTTTCATCTACAAAATCAATCCAAACAAGTCCAAAACATTCTCAAAACTCAAAGACAAATACTAGATCACTTCCAAGCATAAACACAACAAAATCTCATAATTTCTACTCATTTCTACTCAATATCAAAGGCTTCACAGAGCCAAAATCAAAGAGGGAGTCCATGGGGTTATACCTTTGTAGATTCCTCCTATTTTTTGGGATTCCACCTTCTTCCCAAGCTAGCTACACCCTCCTTCACCTCCTAAACACCTCAAACAAACCAAACAACAACCTTAAGACTAAGTTCTCAGAGAAGAAAGCTAGGAAGGAAAGCTAGAAGAGATGAAATGCTATAAAACATACTGTGATTTTTCTTGGATGTCTTGTGGAGCTTTTGGGGAAGAAGACAAGGTTGGGAATCAAGAGGCAAGGTCTTATTGTGTTCTTATTTATAGGGGCATTAAACCCTAGGAGAATCCACAATGATTGGTGGAGGGTAAAAATGGCAAAAGATGGCTAAAGAATGTATCAGACAAAGACCCTTGGGAGCTTGTGGTTCACCTAGCAACATGGACCCAAGGGCTAAGAATGATATTTTGAATACTTTGGGGTTGAAAATGAATTTTTTCAAAAAGTTTTCTAGATGAACCCTTGTTTAAAGTCTTTTTGAATTCTCCCGGTTTCACTCAGATTGATTTCTCGATTTAAAACTTGGTACGCGAAGTACCCAAAAATTTAGGAGTTTCGAATAAAATAAGTTTTGGTGTCGAATCAATTTAAAATGTGACTAAAATAATTTATTCTAACACCAATTGATAGCAAAAATTTTTAATGGAGTAAAAATGGCTATTTTAGAATTTCTTAAAATTGGATTTATAAAATAAAATTTTGGGTTGTTACATACTTACTCTAGATGCCGCTACATATAATTGTCCTTGCACGAATACGGGCTTCTTGAGTAACAAACCAACCTAAGATAACGTTTGACCCTGACTTTTATTGATGGTCATTGCATATGAAAACATTAATGGAAATCGTCTTCTTTTAAACTTGAATGGCAATTAACCTTGGATCTGACGGTGTCATAGTCATTCGAGGAATCAACAGCCTAGTACCTGCATGATCTCTAGTTGATATTTTTGCTTCTATTACGTGTTCTGCCAACTTGGTGACTATCAATCTAGTACCATTACACAACCCGAGAGAGTGATCTATGTTTCTCAACAACATCACAAGTGAGCTAACCTTTAAGGTCAGTGAGTGATTAGGTATGCAAGACGCTCATATGCCATTCAGAAATTCAGGTGTGTGAACGTCTACCAGAATGCCATCATTCGACTCAGAACTATAAACAATTTCGCAACCCAAGTAATTCTTGCTCTCGGCAACATGCATATCACTCATATATTGGTTAATAGCATTGACCACATCTAGAGTTGATGCTAGAATCGCGCGATTTTCTAGAAAGCTATTATCACCACTGTTAGTTGAAAACATCGGGAATGTGTTCTCCACTACAGTGGCAATGGGATCTCAAAAACTCGGTAATAACATGTCTTGTGGGATATCAACTTCTACTGAACCATCATTTTGACCTCCAATAGTCCCATCACCAATTCCTGCAATCCATTGCGCAAAGTTCTCAAGCCGTTGCAATTCAATGTCGGCACTCATACTTTTCAACCGAAGATTCTTAGTTAACCTTAACACCTTGCAATTGTCCCATAAGTACGATGCATTTATGGTGGCAACAACTATTTCTTGTCTTGTGCCTTTTGGGACTACATGCAATATTTGCCGGAAATCACAACCTAACACGACTGTTTTCCAGCTGAACGTTTGATTTGCACTCCTTGGGTTAACAAACTGTAATAAGTCTCTCATCATTATGTCTAACGCTTCAAAGCAATGCTTGTGCATCATTGGTGCATCATCCCAAATTATTAATCTTGCCTTAAGAATCAATTCAACCAACTCACTAATGGGCTTGATGTTGCAAGTGGAATCCTTGGTAATAGCAATAGGTATTGCAAATCGAGAGTGTGCAGTCCTTCCACCCGGTAGGAGTAATGAGGCTATACCGCTTGAAGCAACATTAAGAACTATTTCACCTTTAGATTGCAATGTTGTAGATAATGATCTCTAAAGGAAAGTTTTACTTGTTCCACCATATTCGTATACGAAAAAAAAGCCCCCCACTGTTTGACAATGAATCTTCAATAATGATGCCGTAGACACTCTTCTGTTCATCAGTTAACCTTCTGTTCATCAGTTAACCTGCTTGTCAATTGAACAATCTTTTCAGCAAGGGTTGCACAATCATATAGTAACCTCTCAAAAGCAATAAATGGTTCACATTTAACGATGATTGCTCCAAATTTGGAAATGGCATAAGGGAAACTCTTTCAATGATCTATTGTGTATTTGTAGCAACTTTTCCATCTCAATCAAAACAATGTTCTTATTTTCATCGTCATTTAAGATAAGATCTACGATATGTATATATTGAATGTAAGAATCTTAACTATAATAAAGGAAATATTTAACAAATATAAGATATATCAAATAACATACCTGGTTTTTGAAGTAACTTACGTTGGTTGAATTGTGCATCTTCCGCTAGATGGTGACATGCTTCATTCCAAACGCTCTCTGGTCTATTCAATGGTTTGGTTATCAACAATGTCACAAAAAGTTTCCGCATCGAATGAGCTGATGACCAATGACTTGCCTCTTCAATTGCATCAATGTATTCTTTCTCATCATCTAACAAACCCCGTGAATAACATGCATCTCTAAATGTCATGTGCCCAACCTCATTAAATGTACAAATGTCATTAAAACATGTAGGGCCACATACTATATTCAAAAGGCATCTACGATAATATATTTCACCACTACCAGGCGGAACGTAAAATATACGACCGATTGAAAATCCTTTTTTTTTTTTTATAGGATGCCACTCTCGAACATCCTTCTTCCAAAAAAAATTATTTGGCATCTCGATGTAAGTCAACAACCTAGCATCCCCATATTTCTTATTTATTTGCATCAAACCATCCTAAAAACATACTTTGCCCGATAGTGTGTCTGTTTAGGACCTCGGTAACGTTGTTGTCATCATTGAACACTACGGAATGGCAATCTGGCAGGTGGAAGCTTAACCTTTCAAACAGTGGTGTCCTATATTGAACGTCAAAGCTGAGTAGGCGCCCTGTAGCCTCACATGCGGAAACATAGCGACAGTCGTAATACATATTTATCTCATCTATTACTTCGTTGCCATCCGAATCCACACACTACAAGAAAAACGACTTTTAACGACAAAAAATTAGTGACGGGTAGAGAAACCTCTCACTAAATGTAATATTTGCATAGCTTTTGTGAGGGTTAAAAATTACTCTAGTTAAAAGTGTATGATTTAGTGACGAAATTTTAATTTTTTACTTATTCTAAAATTTTACTCTCACTAATGATATGGAAGATATTCTTACTCTCACTATTGATGTCTAGATTTTTTTTTCACTAAAACCTATTTCCCACCAATTTCTTTTCTTTTTTGCGCTTCTTGGACATAAGCATTTACAGCCACAAAAGTTCATCTCTCTCTTTCCACTCACCTGCGATTCACCACCAGCTCTCACACCTCAGTAGACCATCTCTCCATCTCTCTCTTTCTCTTCAATTTCTACTTCTCATCTCTCTCTTTCTATTCACTCTCTACTTCCAGACAGAAGATTTCTCATCCAGCCTAGGGATCTATTGTTTATGCAGTAGTGCAATGTAGCTGAAAAAGGTAAGTCCCTCTCGATTCATTTTAGTAATGAACAATACAAATATGAGCTTGTGCTGAAGGATTTCATTTTCTCAGAAACTGTGAGTGACTTTGGATTTTTCTCAGCATCACCACGTATCTATAAGGTTTTTTTTTTTTTTTTTTTTTTTTTTTTTTTTTTGCAATATTTCTCCATTATCTTTGTAATTTCTTCTCATTGCTGCTATACCCATTAGTTTGGTGAAATTTTAATTATGTTAGTCAAGCACGCAAGCTTTAGAGAGATTTTTCTTCTTAAAAAAAAAAAAAAAAAAACTCCAGGAAATTTTTTTTACCAACATCTTGAATAGGTTTTTACAAAACCATCAAGATTCAGACCAAAAGAACCTATATATATATATATATATATATATATATATATATATATATATATATATATATATATATATATATATATATATATATATATATATATATATATAGAAGAGCGCTCATATGCGGCGGGGTCTTACGGTGCGGCGGTGCGGTCAAATTCCAGAATACACCAACAGTGTTAACAATATGCACCAATAGTGTAATAAAAACACACCCCAATGAAATGTAATAAAACATAACAAAATACACCACAGACTCAAAAAAACACACCATACAACTCACCACCCCCAATGGTGTATTTCCGAACAGTGTATGGTGTTTTTACTCACACCTAATGGTGTGTGTTTGGTGATGTAGGGCTCTGTTTACTCTGTTTTGTGTGGTGTATTTCCTAACGTTGATGGTGCATATTTGGTGAACTATTGGTGTTGCCGCACCGTAAGAAATAACCGCACCGTAAGACACTGCCGCACCTGAACCCGCCTATATATATATATATATATATATATATATATATATATATATATATATATAGATTTTGGATCCGGTGAGGTTACCTTTGTCAGGCGAGGTGGTAAGGCTTGATCTGGTACATCTATTTGTTTTTTGGATGGATGAGATTTGGCTGAATAAATTGCCATGTGCGTGAGATAAGTTTGCATGTGGGGGTGTTGATGTCTTTTTGGGGGTGTTTTTATTAGGGCGTAATAATTGATTAGCAGATTTTATGGTCTTGTGCACTACTAATTATGGTATTTATCGGATGATTTATTTTACACACTACCGTCTCTTCGCTTTCTTCTTGCACAATACCGCCTCTTCGCTTTCTTCTCGTCCAGTCCGTCCGTTCCTTTCTGAGATTGTGTTGGCGTCTCCGGCGTGTCGTTTCTTTTCCGTGCGGTTGACGGTGATCACTTGTCCAACTCAGTCTCCGGCGGTCTTCATGGCAGGGTCTTCATCACGGCGTTCCAAGCGACAGAGGCAGGGCTCTTCCGCACGCATTCCAAGTATCCCGTCTGCATTCACTTTGAGTTCGATGTTTTTTGTGTATATGGGGTGTGAGATGTTGTTGCATGTGGGGTGTGCGGTGTTGGTGTCCGTCGATGGGGGCTTAGCTGAGGAAGAACCGAACAAGAACTACTTCTCACTGCTGTGGGTGATGCCGAAGATGATGAATGCAGGTTTTGAGTTGATGAGGGGGTTCATGCTTCCATGGATAAATAGTGGAGATTACAGAGAGGGTTGGGTTTTAACACTAGGCAGGACGGCAGGATTATTGATTCCAGGAATATCAGATTACGGCCCTGAAGATTATGTTAATCTCACCCGATTGGGAACGCCACTTGAATCCCTTCAGTTTCCAGAAACAGTTCAACAACAAGGTCTTAAACGTGATTGAGAGATTTTTTGTTTCTCTCAAGATGAGGAATTTTTTAGGTTTTATGGTCTGAAGGTGGTGCATCTTGTTTCCTACTTTGTTTCCGAAGATATATTGAGCTTATGAGTAGTTAACCCCATTAGTAATATTTTAGCAAGGATTCAAGGAACTACACTTCTTGACATTTGAGTCATTCGTGAATCACAGAGAGAAGGAAGCCCCAAAATTAGAAGGAATAAATTTGAACCAAATAAATAGATTCAACCCTTCACCAAATTACAGCAGACAAATCTAATAGTTTATCATGCTTGTTGGTCGTGTTAACGTGTGTGCGATTGGCTTCAATTCTTTGTTATGATGGATATTATCAACCAGCGTTGTGTTCTTGGTTTTTGTCGCATGTTGATACCTTAAAATTTAAAAATTTCTGTACATAAGTTTTCGTTGTGTTATGAAGGTTTTTGTAGTTTGGTTTTTATTTTTTTTACGTAAAGCTATTTTGCTAGGTGAATTATAATTGTAAGATGTTATGGTCTATTTAATGTTGGTGTGTTGTTATTTTATATATCTTTTTGGTGCTTTTCTTGTTATGGTTTGTGCGATTGAGGTTTATAAGGGGTGTGGTTCTTTTTTTTTTTTTTTTTTTTTTTTTTTTTTTTTAAATTTCCACTGGATTCTAGTTGGTAGTAGGTCTGGTGTTTGTGCGTTTTAGGTTTTGGGCTTGTGTGTTGGGTTCTAAGTTATCTTTGCTGTTCGTGGTTTTTGTTGCATTTTGATCCCTTAAAATTTTACAATTACTGAAAGCAATTTTGGTGAATGTTTTTTTTTTTTTTTTTTTTTTTTTTTTTTTTTTTTTTTTTTTTAACAATTTTAACGCAAAGCTATTTTGCTATGTGTTTTTAAAGTGTAACATGTTATGGAGTATTAAATGGTGGTCTGTTGTTATTTTGTATATGTATGATGTGCTTTTCTTTGTTATGGCCTGTGCGATTGGGGTTCATATTATTATTGCCCTCATAATTAAATAATTAAAAATAGTTTTAATTTTTCCGGCCAAAATTGGCCGGCAATTTGGCCGGCAGGACTAAATCTGCTAATAATTACATAGTTAAAGGTTTAAATTGAGAGTTTTGAAAGTCACGTACTCAAATTATCAGTACCCTAATAGTCACAGGACCAAAAGTGCAATTTGTTCTTATTGTTATTACTATTTTTATTATTTCTATTTTTTATTATTGTTATTTGCAAATCATTTGTTGCGTATTAGTGATCTGATGATGCTCGTGGTATCATTTTTGTTGGCCTATCGATGATGCGTCTTTGGTTTTGAATTGGCTAGCATTTTAGAACTGTAGTGTCTGTTGTGTGTGCATTTCGATTACGTTTGTGTGCGTTTGTGTGGGGCTGGCTTTGATTCTTTGCTGGGCTGGGATTAATCATTCAGGAGTGTGTGCATATAACGATCCTGGTGTGTGTATTTGGGAATTACTGGGGGCCTGCTTTAGTTAGTATTATGCACTTCGCTTTTTCCTTTTGTGCAGTTCGGTCTATTGGTCTGTGTAGGTGGGTTTTAGTTACTTGTTATTTTTTTGCATGTGCATACAAATTTATTTTGTGTTGCCTTGCCTTATTATTTGTGTGTTTGGTTTCAGGTTTATTCTTTATGTCTGTTGCATTAACTTTGTTTCGTTGTTTTCATTGTAGTGGACGATTCTGATGCTATATGAATGCTCATGCTCCGACTATAACATTTACTCGCACGCACTAGCCAAAACACACTCCGAAATTTAAAAACATTTTGAATTTAACAACTACGTATTTTCCTTATCAATTCAAAGTCTCCATTTTCTTAATTTACCGTTTTCAAATACTTTATTCATTTCATTTTTAATATCGCATTTGGTATTATTGTAGTACATGCTATACGAATGCTGATGCTCCAACTATAACATTCACTTGCACACGTGATCAAACACTAACAAAGTTTATATACTCTCTAATTAAATATTTCTGAATTCGTTCTACATTTAGAATTTAACAACTCTGTATTTTCCAAATCAATTCGAACGATCCATTTACTTAATTTAGCGAATTCACGTAGTTTATTAGTTTCATTTTTTATATTGCATTTTTTAACCCTGATAGTGCACGTCCATATTGGTGCTCATGCTACAACTATAACAATTACTCGCACTCGCGTCCAAACACTCATAAAACTTATAAACTCTCTATTAACATATTTTCAAATACGTTCTATATTTGAAATTTAACATCTACG